CATATAATATAAAAATTAAATAAAAGTAAATATGTGTAACGCCGAAGCCATAGAAAAATATTTATAAAATATAAAAATGAAATAAAAATGTATGACATCAAAGTCAGAAAAATATTTATCACCATAGAAACGAAAAGCCACACCCTAAAAACGGGGAGTTTTCTCTCACCTGGATGCTGACAGCGAATAGCAGGCAGGTCTGGGTGAGGAGGGCGAAGGACTGATATTCATAGAAAAATATTTATATAATATAAAAATGAAATAAAAATAAATATGTCTGACATCGAAGTCATACAAAAATATTTATAAGATATAAAAATTGTATAAAAATAAATATGTATGACATTGAAGTCATGGAAAAATATTTATATAATAAAAATGAAATAAAAAATAAATGTGTATGACATCAAAGTCATAGAAAAATATTAATATAAAATAAAAATTAAATAAAAATAAATATGTATGACATCAAAGTCATAGAAAAATATTCATATAATATAAAAATTAAATAAAAGTAAATATGTGTAACGCCGAAGCCATAGAAAAATATTTATAAAATATAAAAATGAAATAAAAATGTATGACATCAAAGTCAGAAAAATATTTATCACCATAGAAACGAAAAGCCACACCCTAAAAACTGGGAGTTTTCTCTCACCTGGATGCTGACAGCGAATAGAAGGCAGGTCTGGGTGAGGAGGGCGAAGGACTGGTAGTCGGCCACATCTTTCCCATCGTCCCTCACCGAGTCGCTGAGCGCGGCGTAGGGGATGAAGAACAGCACCAGGGAGCTGTAGCCGCTGTGCAGGGCGCACTTAAAAAAGGCCTTTTTGCTAAAGTACAGGTTCAGCTGGCCGGGAACGTAGAGCTGAGGGTGCTGGAAGCTCCACGCGTCGTTCACATCCTGCCCACCAGGGGGAGGCAGAGAGTCAGGTTACATTTAAATAGGAAAAAACTTCTATCTTCAGTCTATTTTAAAGCCCGATCCAAGAAAAATGGGAAGAATTTTGGATTTTTTTTTTAGTCTGAAGTCTTTCTTTGGCCGCTCAACAACATATGAAGAAAAAAAAACAGAAATAATATATCAAAATTAATAAAATATATGGCGTTATAGGGTTAACACTAACCCTATAATGCCAAATGTGTCATATCTGATCCGGTTTCTTTTGGATGTGAGACTTTCTGCATCATTCAGTGGTAAAAGCTTTGCTCAAACCCCTGTTGTACACATTCAGATATACCTGATAACAGCCAGTAGAAGACTACACCAACATACATTTTTTAGTTATTGCACGCTAATTTGATCAAAATCATTTCTGTTTTTTTTCTTCATGTGTTTTTGAGGGGCCAAAGAAAGACTTCAGACTAAAAAACATAGATATATATATATCTATATGATTTTTTATTGTTAAAAAAATATATAAATATATATATTTATATATTTTTTTATCGTTAAAAAAACATATAAATATATATATTTATATATCGTAGATTTTTGTGAAGCTTGGGCCAGGTACAATTTAGCAAAATATTTTATTATCGTGAATGTTTTATTATCGTGAATAAAACATATATATATAGCTAAATGTAAAACAGTTCCGGTCATTAAGCGGAGGCAAGTGACGTTAAATCCAATATGTCTGTCCCTGATGTGGGCGGGGCTTAATGTGGGCGGGGCTTGATGTAAAGCCAGTTTGAACTGTGCTCTTCTCCCAAAGCTCAGATTACCTGATCAAACAGACTCATTCCCAGGACGGGCAGCGCCGTGTAGACCAGGTTATAGAGCGTGATGAACCACTCATCATACACCGTCTGAAAACAGAGGAAAAGCCTTTTACTAACACATTTTACTTCATTATTACCTCTCAACAGCAGCACCTCTGCTAAGCCTTCGGAGGGTTAGAAGATACATTTTTTCTTTCCACTGAAATAACAACTACTCACCAGAGGAAAACAGAAAAAAATTAAAAACAGAAAAGCCATCAGCTACATCTAAGACTTTACTGGGCTCAATTTCTCACATTAGAAAAATATTTTCCGACCAACAAGGTCAGAAATCCTAATCCTAATTCTAACGAGCAGAGGGAGGTCTCACATATCTTTTTTTTGTTTCCCACCTAACCCGGAACAGCTGGAAAAGATGATGCTACACCCCCAAAAAAATCTATTTTATTCAAATAAGCCATGTTTAACAAAAGGGACACTTATTTTTGCACTCATAAATTAAAGTACAATATAAGAGAATGCCAAATGCTGAATGGAGGAAGCCAAAAAAAAGATGAAAAAGACATAGAATGGGAGAAAAAAGGCTGAAGGGAGGAATAATTTTAAAAAGCTGAAAGACTGAAAGAGTGGAAGAAGAAAGGTAAAAGGATTAGAAGAAGAGTAAAGAGTAAAAGGCCATAAAATTATAGATAAGGTACAAGAAGATTGAGTGGGATTTGAACCAGCAACTTCTGGATCTGGAGTCAGAGGCTATACCACTGAGCTATACCACAGGCTGAAGTTATACCAGTGACCAGCAGAGGGAGCCATACTTTTAACTCCATTCATTTCAATGAGAGAAAATAACAGCAGAAAAAGTTAAATAACTTAAAAGGTTGAAAAGATTTGAACACCAAAAGTTATGGCTCCATAGTCCTGAGATAGCTGAACATTTTAATACCTTATTTGTTTAAATAGGTTGAAAACTGTGGGCGTAGATAGACACATAAAAAGAGAAACAGGAAGTAGGCATTCTTACTTTAAAAAATAGAAAATTCTTTGTATTTCTTTATTAAGTGTATGAAAAACTATATATTTCCCCAATGTGTTGGGGAAATCCCCATTTTTTAATGCTGTTTTTTCTTTATTTCTTTA